CCCCAAAACCCCAAAACCCCAAAACCCCAAAACCCCAAAACCCCAAAACCCCAAATTAGGTAAAATCATAGTGGGATTTAATATAATTATTTATAGTCGAAGATGTTCGCAGGCAAACTAATTTTGTCAAGATTTGGAGCTCCTACAGCTAAAAGAGCAGTAGGACTCGGAAAGTTATTCACTGCTAAGAGGTTTGCTTTTAGTCCTCTCGTTCTTAACGGAGTCATGAGAAGATCTTACCATGAGAATGTTATTGATCACTACGAAAAACCTAGGAATGTGGGAAGTCTCGATGCCAAAAGCAAGGATGTAGGAACTGGTCTCGTTGGAGCCCCTGCTTGTGGAGATGTCATGAAACTTCAGATCCAAGTGAACAAGGATGACAACAAGATTGAAAAGGCAGTATTTAAGGTAATTTTGAAGGGATTTTAAGGGAGTTTTAAGAGATAGTGTTAGGCTGAGAAATTGCTTCAACAATACCTCCAAGTTTTCCAAAGCTAACTTCTTAAGGGATAAAAGAATTGACTTCTTCAGATCTTTCTGGAGATCTTATGACTTTACCAGTGGCCTTACTTTTCATAGACCTTTGGATGTGGTAGCGCGATTGCCAGTTCTTCATACGCAACAGAGATTTTACACGGCATGCATTTGGATGATGCTATGAATATCAAGAACAAGGGTAAGACTGTTATAAAATTAAACTTTATTGATTTCTAAGCGAAATTGATCTGTTAGACTTATCTCTCAGACTTCTGAATGGCATGGTCAAAAGTTTACAATATAGCCTGGATTCATATACTTTTATCGAATATTTCCTTTACCAACTTTGAACATTTTATTAGTGATCTTAAGTCTATCTATGCTATATCTGAGCTAAATCCCATATTTAGATTATCTTAGTTGGCTTTTTATAAACTTCATTTATGATGGTATCCTAATGGAATAAATCATTCTTACACTATCTATAGATATTTCAGAACACTTGAAACTACCACCAGTAAAGTTGCACTGCTCAATGTTGGCTGAAGACGCTATCAAGGCTGCTGTCAAGGACTATAGAAAGAAAGCTGATCTTGCTGATTAATCTCATATTTGTGGTTGAATATTTGACTAAATTTCCGATCATTTTTATAAAAAGGGGTTTTGGGGTTTTGGGGTTTTGGGGTTTTGGGGTTTTGGGG